TGATATACATTTTTCATTCGAACACCTCCCCTTTTACTTCTGCATTTTTTTTCCTTCCTAAGAATTTGATTACATTTCGTTGTGTGGTATTAACACTAGAACCATCGAGCATTTAATACGATAAATATGTAATCCCTATAAAAATTATAATAATAAACTATTTTTGCTTTCTTCAGGCATTCATTATAATATTCAAGTGAAATTATTTATTTTCAAAATCATTACGAATGTTCAATGGTTTTAAGGTACCAATAATCTCGAAACAAAAAAATTGAAACCAATCGTTTTGACTGGTACGGTAGTTCTAGTGTTAAACACACTAAATATTATATTACATTACATTTGAAAAAATTACATATAGCAGTTAAGACAACCGTATCAAACTACTAAGTTAATTATTACATTAACACGTTGACTGTCACAATAATTTAGAGCTTTTCGTATACTTATCGTATAAAAAAGGCAAATAGTATTAGAATTAATTATTAATGATTTGTTATAATAGTTCTTATACGATCATTTAATTAGTAATGTTACTAAACATTTTAATTCAATATCAGTTTTCTTCTTGTAATTGTTTTCTAGTAATTTCGATGCTCCGGTAATTGATGACCATCATAGCGGTCAACGTGTTAAAGGGAAAAATATGGTTGTTGTTGTTCTTGTCGTATATTGGTTTCCACCTGGTATATACGCAATGAAACACAGCACTACGTGACGCGTCTTGAAACGTATAGCATTCCCAGCATCGTCAGGGCGCATTGCTCCCTCGGGTCGCCACGATTGAATCCTGCATTTCCCGGGTCCCTATGGTCGTTAGGAAAACCTGGCTTCCACCAGAAACGCCGCGTAAACAACGGGAATCCAACGCGTCGTCGAAAACACGGTCGACCAATGGACAATATGCAGTTGTTTCGACGTCAATGTACTGGGTGCTTTAATAGTTGCTATTTATATTTTCGTTTCTGTTCCAATCTGATCGAATATGAAAAAGTATATTCACTTTAGGGAAATTTTGAAGGATCATTTCTGTCCTCTACCATATGGATTTTTCCTTTTTTACAAATACGTACATATACAAGTTAACGCAGAAAATCATTGAAATATGTTTCGACAATACGAAATATATATATTTGACGAAACCTAAGTAATAATTTTGATTTCCACAGATGACCAACTAGAAACAAAAATTTTAAATCTATGCTTGTGTAATCATGTTATTATTAAATATTTTGTTACTTTCTTTTTGCAGTAAAATTACTGATAGACTTAATAACATTTCTAGATTGATATCTATTAATTAAATAGCGAGATTTCCTTATTGACAGTTTGTTTACTAAGAATATATTAAATAATAGGTTGCAGACGTATAAAGTACTTTTTCTGGAAACAGCAGAATAATGAAAGGCGGTAGAAGTCTTATATAGTTGTAGATGTCTCTGGTGCTCTATAATTCAACTGCGCTTCCCGCTGCATTAAAGCTGCCAACACCAGTCCACCGTGCAACATCTTCGATTTCCAGGGTCTGTCATTCGTTTCTAAAATTGTGCCGCAGTTTTCTCGGCTGTCTTCAACCCATGCCCTATAATTTTCCACCTCGGCGCGGGGCTAGATTGAGAGACGAGAATAGAGAATTGCAGGAATTGCCGTGGGTGACAACGAATGACAACGGAAGACGGCTGAAAGTAATCGCAACATCGTTTAAGACGACTTCTGAAAGCGTTTTAATCTCGCACTTAGTTTCATAGTAATTTAAATAGTTTTTTAACTAACGTGATTTATATTGTTTCAATTTTATTTTCTGGTAGATTAAAGGAACGTTCGATTTAAATCGTTTCTAAACATTCTTACTTTTCAGGGTGTTGTAAGAATTATAAAATGACAACAGAGTCGAATATAATAAAACATGATGTTTAAATTACTGTCACAGCGGGATTTGAGACTGTGAGATTTTTAAGTTTTGAGACTTTGAGACTTTAAAACTTTGAAACTTGCAAACTTGGAAGTTTTGAAATTTAAAAATTTTGAAACATTGACACTGAAATGTCGAGATCTTGAGATTTTGCGATCTCGAAATTAATTGGTTTTGTGACTTTAAGTCTTTGAAACTTTGAAACTTCGAAACGTTAACACTGAAATTTTGAAGTCTTGAGATTTTTCGATGTTTAAATTTTGTGATTTTGAGACTTTGAGGCTTTGAAGCTTTGAAACTTTGAAACTTTGAAACTTTGAAACTTTGAAATTTTGCAACTTTGAAACTTGGAAATCTTGAAATTTTGAAAGTTCAAATTTTAAAAATTATTGGCGATTTAATTTGTTACGTACACTAATATAGACAATAAGTATTCTACGAGAAAAAAAACAGGTTAACAGTGTGAAATAACTGTGTGATGTTTCGTTTTCGAAATAATCGGCTTCCGCTGATACGCGCGCATCAATATTTGCATGAAGTCGGAACGACGCACCATGAACAGCCACTTTAGTCGATTCCTATTCAATAGCACGCGCAACCGTCACATATTAAAATTCGGTTAACGACGTACCGTTTTTGAAGGAATCGAGTTCGAACACGTACCGTCGGTAGTTAGTCGGGGACGCACGTGTTCTCAACGGATTTTCAAATCGGATTCCGTCGAAAACGAAGTTTCAAACTCGCAGACTTTAATCTATATTTTTTCACTATATTTTCTCGCGCGCGGTAACTTACTGACAACTGAAGCATCAGTATTCTGTCGACACTTCCAATTGAACTAGTACCTAATAAATATACCATCTTGATTTTTTTGACACAGTAGATTGGAAAGAAACTAAATTTATTTTATGCTTGAGGTCTATTTGTTTTATATATCTATCTATAAATAGTATTTTCCTTTTCAGTTGTATCATCGCTAATAAGACACTTTGTGCATTGGCGATAACAAAGCCTTTGATATCTCCTTATTCCTTTAAAAGACGTGGACGGAGGTAACTCATTAACCGACGCGTGAAACTCGCTTTACAATTTCTCTAGTAATTACCTTCATCAAAGTTACTTTATCGTTAATAATTTGCTATAAGAAAAGAAAGTAAAAATACTTCATTTAATCTGAAAGTTGAATTTTTTCAAACCCTACTATACTGCTAGAATATATAGATATCGAAAGTTATTCATTTAATACCTTGAAAAGGTACATGTGTATTTAAACTATGTTTACGTGGAATGTGTCAGTGACTGTATACAGCAGGCTTTACCGCAGTCATAACCTAAAGTTGTTCCATCTGCTTTTTCAAATATATTTTTCCGATTTTTATCTACCAGCCTACACCGCTAAAATGAAATGTGGTTGTGTTGCTCGATTGTACTGAAACAAAAGAAACATTTAAAATATTTCGAAAACACCTGCAAAAAGACATACCTGAATATAATCTTTATTGAAGGAACTCCCAAGAAATAAATTCCATCTGCACTGAAAGAATTAATATCACAAGAATTGAATTTCATATTAATTGATAGAGTTCATATAAAGAAAAAGTAGAATTTTCTAAGAATTTTCTATCGACTGGAAGTATTAGTATTAGAAGAACAAATCCTTCAATCGACTGAAAGGGTCAATGTTAGAAAAATAGAACTTCCTATCGATTGATAGGGTTAAAAAAAAATTGAATTCTCAATCGGCTGAAAGGGTTAATGTTGGAAACATAAAACGTTACATCGTTCTACATAGTTAATAAAAAATATAAAATAAATTAATATAAAACTTGTATATACTCAATATTCAAAAACCAATACAATACAATACTTTAAGAACAAATTTTTATTTAGACGGATTTATTTCACGCTCCTTTCTCGAATGTAACTCAATTTCATCCACAGATATGTTCAGTTTGTAAATTCCACCAAGCAATGTCTAACAAACATAAACATCACTCAATTTGTATAAATCCAACTTAGATATAATTTTTGTCATCTACTATTACAGTTTAAAGCAAAGATGGATACAGGATACACTGAGAATTCTTGTTTTTTTCAATTAATCATTAATAACTACATTGCTAACTAACTACAGCTGCAACTACATCTACATTAATAACTTCAGGTGTCAACCAGTTAATCGTGCTCGACGAGTATATACGTCATCTTAAAGCTTGAAATGGCACAAACTCTTTTATTTCTCAGGTCAACTCTTTATTTTCTCAGATCAACATGTGATTTTCCTTTGTTTCGCTTTGGTTTATCATTAAAATATACACAGTCAACAGGTTAACGCATTGCGTCCAAATCTCGTTTTTATTTAAACCTATTTTTGTAACTTCGCTAACTACCAATTAATACTAGAACTACTGAACACTTGAATGCTCTTTTGAACGTTTCTTTATGAAAGCTATAAGCGTGAATTTATTAACATTTCAATTGACGTATATTTCAATTTAGGTATTGCTAAATCAGCTTCTTCAATCGTTTCTTAAAGAAGTATCTGAATTAGTTATTTCGACTCAACTGGTAATTCCACTGTTGAAAAAATATTAAATCTTATTAAAACTGATTACTTGTTCAACACTTATAAAATAATAATAAGATATTTGAATATATTGCACATAGTGATATATCGCGAACGTATCAGTTGATCTAATTGAAAAATCAGTTTCCCAAGAATCAACCGGTACGCAATGCGTTAATATAAATTTCGGTAACAAATCGAAAATAAAACGTAAAATCAATTGGTTGACACGTTGATTGCCACGATGGTCACCGGAATTTCCTACTTTTCCCCCATTACCCCTTTCGTTCCTCGTCCACCAGCTGCAGTGGGTCTCGCAGTGTTCAGTAAAAGAAAGCTGAAAGTCGGAAAGCTTAGGACTCGCACGAAGAAGAGCTCGAGGAGGCTGGCCGTTCACAAAAGGAGCACAACGGAGACAACGAATCGAGCCTTTCCAACAAGAGCGAGCGAGAGATAGAGAGGGGGAGAAGAACTCGCGGACAGAGAAAGACCGGAACGGCCGCGAGCATGAGAGGGAGATCCGCGGCGCCACGGTTCGTCGCGACGCTCAGTCTACCGGCGTCGTCCGTGCAAACGCGTTGAACTGCCGGATTGTCAGCTCGATTCGCGCGGAATTCCAACCCCCCTTTTCGATCGCGCGCGGTGCCGGCTCGAAATTCGCGTCGCGTGCCGCCGAATCGTGGCACCTGGTGTTCCAGCTTTAAACTTGAATCATTTCCGACTGAGTTCGATTTGATATCGATGCCGACGTTTTATCGTGTTCCAAAGTTCTTATTAATAGCAGTAAATACTACTTGACACCCTTCTAAATGATTGAACTGTGTTTTGAAAGATGTTGCGGTTAAAGATTGTTATTTGAAGTATATAAAATATGTTTATATGATAAATTAACTTTTGTGTTGTGGATAATATCGGGAGGTTTGACAGGACGGTTCAGTGATTTGTTTATTATATGAAATGAATGGATGTTTGATTTGAGTATAAGGTAAATATTGAGTGGGGAGGATTGTCGAAAGTTCAAGTGAAAGTGGGAGGATTTTAATAGAAGTGATTGTGAAGGTTGAGTAGTGTTGACCTCGTTTTTGGATTGTTGTTTGAGTTGTGTTTATAGAGAATTTGGAGTAACTCGGAATTTTCCTGGCCGTTTTATGTGGGGTTGAAGTTTTTTAAGTGGAGTTTTAGTGGTTCAGGGGTTGACGGTGTTTTCGATTGGTGGTGATTTCGATGCTGGTGCCTGGTGTCTCGTTGAAGGAGCAGCGATAAGAAGGGAATTCTCGAGGATGGGATCGAAGGATGATTCTGTAATTGTTGCGGAAGTTAGGAGATGAAATTCCGGGATAGATGGAGGAGCAAGCCCTCCTGAGGGGCAAGTTTCTTTTATGTAAATGAAGCTCTAAGAAATCGCCGAATTAAAGAGCAATTGGAGTGTTGTTTACGAATGTGGAGCTTGAAGCTTACTTTGCCATTTTTCTAATGATTATGGTCTCTTCGTTTAAAGCTCTCGTTAGTAATCGTGGTGAGAGACGATTGAAAATATTATTCTTCAATTAAGGGGATGATATTAAATTTTAAAAACGGAATTCTCTATACTTACGAATGTAAAATTCTCTTTACATTGGTATACTTTGTTTTGGTTATGTTTTTCAATCATTTTTATAATTATTTCGTAATTATTATATATATTTCTTATTGTATTATTAAATTCATTAGTTATAAATTAACGATAAATATTCTTGTAAATATATTCAGGTAGTTTGACTTGTAAGAATAGAAAGCGACAAAAAAGAATGGAGATGACGTGTACTTGTGTACATGTATGCTAATGTAAGTTTTTACAGGCTGAAACTTGCAAAACTAGAAATGCAATATAAATGTGTATCTAATTATACCGGATTTCATATGACGAAAGTAACAAAAACAGGCCATCCGAGGCTCCAATCAGATTCACCGTTTTAATACATCCCGCATACCCACGTGCGTCGCTGATGCACAAACTCTTCAGTCCAGTTATTAATTTTCTGCAGTTTTTTTTTCTTTCATTCAAATGTGTTTTTCCCCACGTGCACGCTGAGAATTCAAATGCAGATACTTCTTATAAACACTGTCTGAATGTCATGTGCACTGAAACTGAAGCAGTGCGAGCGGGAAAGCTAATTATAAAGGGTTAAATTAATTGAATAGTAAAATAAATTAATGAATTGAAAACTATGATTAAGAATAATATTCATCCACGTAATTCTTGCTTTATAAAACGTCACGTTAATAGATAAAAACGAATACAATAATTTTAATTACTAATCATTTTTAATTCTTTTGTATCATTCAAATTTAATTTCTCGTTAAATCGTTCAGCGGATATTTTAATTAAATTCTATAAATTCTACAATAAAACTCCGTAGAAACGCGTGATAATAATTTTCGATGAAGAATGCGAAATTATAGATTGCTCATTAGTGTAAAAGAACACATTTCCGATTTGTCACGTTAACCACCGTGTCCGTCACTAATGACCGATGCTTCCGAATTGCTTGATAACAATTATAATATGCAAGATGACTGATGTTAAATGAAATAATTGAATAATGCCAGTAAGTTGATGATAGTGTACCACAAGGATTGTAATACCAGATAATTAATAATTGTTCATACTTGTCTTTGCTACAAAGGAATAAGTGTTACGTAAAGAGTTCAAGATTTTCGTAGCACTTAATGTGGTAATTTAATTTAACATTGAAGTCTCTATAGAAGAATCAAGTAATTAGCTCGTGCCTTCAATAAGAAAACGAAAGGATGAAACCGCCACTGGAGACAAACCAGTCGAATAAATTACGGCGTCCCTGTTTAATTAGTTCATTCAGCTGAAGTGCCTACTTTGTAGTTCCTTTGACTCTTCTTGCCGCGAGGAATTTTTTCTGGGGAATTTCTTAGTCGAGAGGGATTATCTAAATCCATTAACAGGCCTTCCCCGTGCTTCCCATTGATATTTAGTGTTTTCTTTGTGAACACTCGAGCTTATTGTCACTCAACACAGCACCTCGAGCTTACCGATTTCACCTATGTTCCCAGACATTTAATGCAATATAATTCTCACGCTATCACGTAATACTATGAATCAGCTTCATTTATAAATCAGATAATTTCGACTCATTCAATGGAGATTTGTTTTGCACGTAAATTGAGAGACTATTAAACTTGACGTTAACCTATGTAACTATATGACGTTTGAACTATGAAACATTGAAACTACAGAATACTAGAACTATAGAATTATAGACCTATAGAACTATAGAACTATAGAACTATAGAACTATAGAACTATAGAACTATAGAACTATAGAACTATAGAACTATAGAACTATAGAACTATAGAACTATAGAACTATAGAACTATAGAACTATAGAACTATAGAACTATAGAACTATGGAATAATGGAACTGTACAACACTAAAACTATAGAACACTAGAACCTAGCGTTTAATATGATCAATATGTAATCCTTCTAAAAATTATATTACAATTTATAATTACAAATAATCTCAAAGTTCACATTACGTGCAAAAGTATTTTATCTCAATAAGATAATAAATCGATTAACCTTTAATTATAGTTTGCATGTTATTGTATTCTTCATATTACGTCATAATTCAATCTCGAGATAAACACCCAACATTCCCATTCAGCTGATTCCTTACTTTTCCTCCTAATTTTTTACCAGAACAATGCATCGCAATTCTCGCTCATCAACCTAGCTAAATGCATTAAAGAAAGAAGTCTCCTCGACTTCTTGCCGCAACTTGAAAGCAACCATGTTTTCTTTCGCGCGCATTTCGGCTTAATGGACATCAAGGAACCCATTAGCAGTCTGCACCCGACGTTTCTGATCGACCCGATCTCTCTTTAACTCATTCGAGAGCAAAATTTTCTTGAAACACGGTTCCCAGCAGCTAAAACTGTTGTACGGTTTACGTTGAAAATCTAGAAAAGATTTTTCGAGTCTTATTAAAACTGATTAATACAATTTCCCATTTTTGTGCACCTTTAATCATTCACCTGCGATCTATATCATCTACGTCCACGACTGTTTTCTTATTGTGTCTGGCTTTTAACATTAACCGTTCCGATCAAACGATTTAAAATTCTGCGTTTCGTTTGGTTCAATGAACATTACATTAATTCTTATATTGTCCAATTGATCAGTTTTCCAATTTTTCTCTTTCCTTTCATTTCCGTGTCTACTAACAAATAATTATTCTCTAATTTCATCTTTATTTTGTACCCAGTTATTCGACTGGTTGCGGTAGGAAGAGTGCCGGTACGGTTAGCCTTAAAGAACACAAAAGATTTCTGAGATATTTACTGAACTCTCTACATTAACATATAATCGTTCTTTCAATCAAAAGCCTGAAGGCTTTGTCAGGAAAAATCAGAATGAAAGGCGAAGTATTGGAAAAAGTTCAAATGGAAAATTTAAACCTGGGTATAAATGTCCAAGATTCCAGGCGAGTTAATACTTTATTACTTTTAATGAACTTTTACTTTATTGTTAACTTGTCCGATCTTTCTGGTACTGCATTGTACGCCTGCCGTGTAATTGGTCTTGAATAAGCTAAAACAATGAAATAGATAGAGGAAAACAGAGAAGAACGAAGAAATTCTAGGGAAAAATATTGAGTCGTTCGGCTCAGTATCGAGAGCATCTTGTCGCGAAACTCCCTAGCGAGCAAATTGCTCGTGTCGGTTGAGCTCGCGTCCTCTTTCGCGAGCCGGAAGTAATAACTCGGTTCGCGGGTCGGTTCACGCGAGTCGCTCTTCTCCGCGGCGGAAAAACGCTCGCGAGCGTGCTCATGTCGCTGAAGAATGCCAAAGCAGCATCGAAGCTCTGGCATGGCACCCGCTATGGCGCGGTTGGCCAATAAAAGCGGTCGTTTGTCGCGCGGATTCGCGGAAAAATTCATGCGCTCCCGCGTCTGCGCTGGATTAGCACGTTAAATGGCACGAGAATATCGGAGATTTTATGTAACATCGTTATGTTAGAAATAATTGATTGGAAGCAATTGTTTTATGAAACACTGTAACTGCTAAAAGCGACAAAAGCTTGTCCTTTATTACTGCTTTGTAATATACAATAAATTGTATACTTGAAACTTATCCTTTCTATTTGCAAATAACTAGTAAGAAGATTTTATGTAGCATTATAGCGTCAGAAATAATTGAAGAGTTTTTGTATGAATTCTTATATGAAACACTGTAACTGCTAAAAGTGAGAAAATCTTTTTCTATATTGTTATTCTGTAGTATACGATAGATTGTATACTGAAAGTCATACTATTCGTACATAGTCATCAGTAATAGGAGTTATTCAGAATACTGATTATATTGAAGGATGACATCACTGTGACATAACATTTAACGTAATGTTAGGTAATTTTCTTCCTTGTACAAGATTTGATGTTTGACGCTTACAAGTTTTTTACAAGTAGTCTTGAATTATTAATGACCGGTAACTACAGTTCTTATGTTATACTAATATCTAGTGATTTACATTACTAAATATTTTTGTTTGGCATCGATCTTCTTATTGTTTTGGTTTCTATCCGGATTAGTTGCTATCATATCTGTTGCTATCATATTTCTACGGATATTAGTTGCTATCATCTCAGTCGACGTGTTAGATATAATTTGAAGGCAGCTTAACGATGGAGTAAAAGTTTGTACAGTAAATTAGTAAATTAATTAAAGAATTGGTATATTACAATAGTTTCGAAAATACGTTCTGATGGCGTTGAGACATCAAACCAGAAACAGAGGCAAATCCAGAAAAATTTAGACGTCTGGATACCCTACGCTAGATATACTCTTTCTTCCCCGAGGGCACAGCTCCGCCGGCGCGGAAAATGGCGCGAATAAACGGTAAGCGGAACGATTTTTTCCGCTTTTTGTTCCAGGATTCTTTTCCATTTTTTCCCCTCTCGTCTTGAATTCACGGAGCGTCGTTACCTGTTAAGCGTTCAACGCGTTGAATGTAGGTTAGGCGACGTTTTAATTGTGGTCTGCGCATTGCGGATATTTCAGCAAATTTTCGTTTGTTTTGTAGATATTTTGGGACTCGCGGATACGCGTTACATGAAAATATGATTTTGATATTTCAGTATTTTATTCAACGTAAGCAAACGAAGATCTAGAAGTGTACGTCGAACGTGTATAAATTCGTGTTTCATTTACTGAAGTTCTTTCCGCGATCCGTATATTCGAAGGAATTCAGAACTTAGTTTCATTTCATCGAATTGAAGTTTCATTGACGTACGTTCTCAAACGAAATTTGTTTTACAAATTCTATAGTTAGTTTTCCGTAATATTCATCCGTGTATCATACTGACGCC